TAAAAAAGTTTCATATGGAAGACTGCAAAGTTATGAGTACTCCAATGAACCAAAAGGAAATTTTTTCCAAAGATGATGGAACTGAAAAGGTGGATGAGGCATATTATAGAAGTCTTATTGGCTGCTTGATGTATTTGACTGCAACTAGGCCTGATATTCTGCATGCAGTGAGTTTTTTCGTCTCAGTTCATGCATTAAGGGAACTATCAACTATGGTGTTAAGTTTCACAAAAGTCAGAAGTTTATACTTAACGGATTCTTCGATAGTGATTGGGGTGGTGCACCTGATATAAAGAGTACTTCAGGTTTCTATTTCAATCGTGGGTCAGGAGCTTTCTCTTGGTATTCTAAGAAACAAGACATAGTAGCACAATCAACAGCCGAGGCAGAATATTACTGCAACAGCAGCTGTGAATCAAGCACTATGGTTGAGGAAAATTATGTGTGATCTGAATATGGAGCAAAAACAAGGGACTAAGGTTTTTATTGATAACCAAGCTGCAATTTCTATTGCTAATAATCCAGTTTTTCATTGCAAAAACGAAGCATTTCAATATTAAGTTGTTTTTCTTAAGAGACGTGCAAAAACATGGAGATGTGAAGCTTCTTTACTGCAAGAGTGATGAGCAGGTTGCTGACATTTTCACCAAGCCCCTTTCCCTCGGCAAGTTTGAGTTTTTCAGAAAAAAACTAGGAATCAACAGTTCCTAAACCAAGGAGGAGTGTTAGTTGCTATGTTTTAGGACTGCAACCTTTTATTTATTTATTGCAGTAAATTAGCTTTAGTTTTCCTCAAATAACTTCTTTACCTAGTCTCTAGGAGTTTGTTTATCTTCAACAGATGTGCTGCTGATTTTTAGGAACATGAAGTTAGTTCTTTATTATAAGTGTAAGTCTTAGGCAGTGAGAAAAGATTGTATTATCAAATAAAGTTATCTCTTCTTTCTTGTTCTTCATTGTTTTAAAGTTCTAATATTTCATTATTCTTAAGTTTTCCTTTGTTCTTTTTCTGGGTTTCCACATTAATTAACTACATATACTACTACTTTCTTGAAATTTTATTTTGTTGGCTTATTTACACGTTTATACTTTTATTTTTCGAACTCCCTGAACGAAAATCCTGGGTCCGCCACTGGTCAGGCAATGGTTGGTTAATTGATCACATCTTATTCATGAAATAACATGGATTGATATTAGTCTGCATCTTTCGAGCAGATGTGAAGGGTGGTGATTTTTTAGTTTTGTTGCAATGGAGAAACAACAACCTAGTATCTATTGGAAACAATCTTTCTGTCTTACTTAAGGTTGTTGGGTTTAAGATCTTTTTTCCCTTCCTTCCTATGTGGATAAATAAAAGTCTTGTTTGGCATATATAAGGCTTATTAAGGTCTTATTTTTCAGAAACAAGAGAGGAAAGAGAAATCTCGTTTTTACTTCAGGAAATTTTATGCTCAGACAGTCTGCTTCAAACAGAGTTTGCCCCTTCGTTAACCGTTGGATCGTGATCAAATTTGAACTTGGAGTTCTCAGCATCTGGTTTCTTCCAATTCAATTGTGGAGATCGGATTTGGTTGTCTTTGGCCTCTGATTTTTGGGCGTAAACATTAACTCGTTTTTGGGTGAAATCTCTCCTTTAATTCTCTAGTTTTGGGGCAATCTTGTTTTGTTGTTGCTCGTTGTTTGGCACTTGTTTTGTGGTCAATTTTTGAGAAAAATATTGTAACTCTTGGTGTTTATAGTGGAGCTTTTGGTCCCATGGTTTTTTACTCTTCACATCAAAGGGTTTTGCATGTAAATCTTTGTGTCTTGTGTGATTGATTTATTTTTATCTTGTTGTTTTTGTTTGGTTGATATACTTGTTGTCCATTCTTCGTATTGCTTGATTTAGTTTGTCTTCTCTTGGTTCAAATTGAAAGAGAAAGTTTAGACTTGGGTATTATTCCGTTCTTATCTTGTCGGGCATTATTTGATAGTGCCTTGCCTTTCCCAACAAAAGTAGGGGTAAGGTATGTGCGCACATAACCCTCCATAGACCCCACTTGTGAATTACTTTGGATATGTTGTCGATTTAGAAGGCATCTTGATTCTTTTTGATAATATAGCAGTAGCCAGAGGACCTGAAGCAGCTAGCTAGTATTGTGTATGGTGTTATTCTTCAATTAAATACTACGGCTTTTTCATTAGCAGGAACTTAACAAGGATATTCAGCTCAAAAAAATGCTCTAGTGGCTTCGAAGAACTTGAAACTTTTGATGAGAGGAGGAAAAGAAATCAAACTTGCAATATACGAGCCTCATTCATCGCTTAAGATCATCGTTTCGTTAGGAAGGCAAGATGCAGTGGCTCAATTTTCATTCACAATGATCATTGGATTAGTCCCCGGGATGATCAAGTCTAAGGATTTATACGTTGGGAAAACGAGGAAGAAAATGGGGTTCAACCTAAGTAATATATTTTGTTTCATTCATGAAATTTAAGATCATTTTGAGTGTTAGAAAATGGTGCCATTTCATGGCCCAAATTTGAGTTCTACTTACATTTTGTTGTGCATAGGAGTTCAATGGCTAAATATATTTTTTAGTTGTTTAGTTAACGAGTGTAGGATTTAGTATTCCTTCTTTCTTTTGGCTTGTTATTTGGGTTTTTTTTTTTCAAAAATAATTGCACCTACATAGTTATAATTTTTAGTTTACACTTGTATACCCAATATAACTGATACCTTAATTAGAACTTCCGAGCACGAGCCGTGGATAGAAAAAATCATGTCAGGAGCGTCACCCTTTGAAGTGCGCAAATTCAAATTTGGTCGGACTCCAATGTGGATATCGAACACTGAATGAGAAAGCAATATATCCACTATAAAAATATATAACACGTTGCTAACTACGAAAATAATATATCCAACTTCAGTTGCAATTGTTGTTCAAAATCATCTAATCAAATCTCCATTTATGTCTTCCAATTTTATACAGGCAATCTCTTTAGACTATTCCAACAAATCTAAACTACACTTCAAATTTCTCACACACACCCATAAAAAAAAGACGATTTAAAATTCAAATCCACTTCTTCGAGCATATTCAACCATCGCAAGTTATGTCTCTAATTTGATTTTCTGTACACAAATCTTACAAAATCAGTACTCTAACCACTCGTTGAGTCCCAAACATATTTACAAATCGAGTTTGTCAACTTACAAAAGAGGCTTGCACCGGAAACATGAAACAGTATCAACGGTACAATGATTTTAATCGCCCTTAATTCTTTGATAGCCCCATCTCAAAGACTTGCCTATAATAGTAGACCTGAGTTCACTGTGGACGACATAATAGCTTTAGCGGGAAGAACAAAAAGAATAAAAAAGAACTAGCGACAGATGTAAAAATTGCAGCAGCACCTTAGAAGCACTTCCTGTGGACAATGGATGGACCAAACTTGTCGTACTCGCCCTTCAAAATCCACATCTGATTAAGCACAGAACATGTTTAAGTTAGCAACAACACAGCTCAAAATGCAGTTTAAAATTGCAAGAGAAGATTTTTAAAATAAAGGCTTGCCTGCTGGAAGGTGCTAAGTGATACGAGGATGGATCCTCCAATCACTGTCTGCTGGGAGCGAAGACAATGGTTTCCTTACTCATACGATAAACACCCAGCAAATGTATATGTGAAGCCCTTATATCAAGCATTGCCCTGTGTAGTTGTCTCGGAGCTATGCGAAAGAAAAAAGATGTTTAGCTTTTTTGTCTGCCTCCTTCACCTATCAAAGATTCTGTTAATATTGCAGATGGAACTTGGCCATATCTGGTGTCCAAAAAATATGCAATTATATAGCACACAACATTAGCTGCAAGTCTGTAAAATCAAGTTGACTTAGACACACTTTATCCCTGTTATAAGATAAAATTTTAAAAATATGTAAATAAAGTATCACAATTAGGAGCTGCATGAAACATTTCTAAACAGGAAAAATAGAAATTAATACCTCAGACAAAGTCTCAACGGTGATCCATATCAAAATTAATACCATCGAAATTTTCTATCATTATCGCAACTTTGTATTCTTAAAAAAGAAAATACCCATATCATTCGACGTTTTTTCTTTTCAATGTTAGACCAGACATATGCATAATCTTGGGTCAGAAATTAATTCAGTCAAATATGAATTAGGCGATAACAACTTAGCAAACACTTCCTACAAGCATTTTACAATTTCTCATCTTCTATAGAAGCGAGGCATGTATTATTACTCTAAAACTAAAGATAGAAGAAGATAAGCAGAAAAATAAAAATTTGGATCATCAGATGCCAATAGTATGTTTAACAACTTTCGAACAATGAAAACAATATTTTCAAAAGCAATTTCCCACTTTAAGTAACTGAAACATGAGTAAATTATTATTTTGTTATCTAACCTTGAATTCATCCCAAGTGGGATATACTTCCTTCATTTTCTGCTAGCTCTGAGATGTCAATCGAGGTTGAGTAGCGAACATAATTTGAAGGAAACTTCATAATCTCCACAGTTCTCTGAATATCAAAACCAAAAAACTGATGTAATATTTGGATCTTTGAATATGAAAAAAAAAATTGATGTAATAATGCAGTCGCATCAAACTTGAAATCAATGTGGTACAACATGGCGTAAAATAATGGAAGCAAATAGTCAAAGTCGTTTTCAATATCTTTAAATTTGAAGGTTGATGTAACTCTTATCAAGGTGTTGGCTACCTGATTGAGAAAATGAGACTGCATTTCTTGGACCCTTTTATCTCTGTAGAAGAGATAAAAAATGAGGAACAACTTTCATGATGGCGAATAATGTTCCAGTCTGCACGATTTGGTCAGTAGCTGGTTTGAGCAGTAGATGTTCCACCCTGCTCAACAAGATCTTAAAAAAAGAAAAGAATAAACAAAAAAGCAAAGTGAAGTAAACAGAAATAAAAGGCTTCTGAGGGAAAAGAATAACTTACATCAGTTGGAGCGCATTTGTTTTAATCATCACAGGCATTCCTTATCGATGTCTATGATGGGAAATTGAGCAATATTTGGCCAGTATTCCCCCTTGTCAAATTCTAGTAGTGGTCTGAGCAATGGGCAGTCGTGAATAGATAGTTTAGAGAAGGAAGAGGGCATCCCTTTAACTGGAAGGGATTGGAGCTTAGGGCAATCGATGATGGTCAGCTCAGAGAGGGAGGAGGGCAGTGTTGATTCGGAAAGTAATTGGAGATTATGGCAACGGGAGATCTCCAGTTGAGAGAGGGAGGAAGGCAGTGCTGATTTGGAAAGTGATTGGAGATTAGGGCAATTAATGATGTGTAGACATCGAAGCGAAGTGAGGTGCCAAAGACCTAGTGAATGGAGCTCATGATGGCCACTAAAATGTAGCATAGAAAGAGAGGTGAGGCTTTTGAGAACTTGGTTGCTTAATGTTTTCAGATCGTATATGATAAGTGTTTGAAGAGAGGAAGGCAACTCCCAATTCTCACCAGCAAGAATCTCTTCGTCACTGCCATCATGATAGATCACTAACTTTGTGAGACAGGGGAATCTCTGTAAACGCCACTCCTTTCGGCCATTCACCAGTTTCATGCAATGGAAGATCGAAAGGAATTGTAAATTGAAGGGCAATCCTCCTTGAGGAAAGGACTCTATTTCTGGACAATCAGACAGATCTAGTTCCTTAAGAGATGGAAGGAGTTCCTGCATACGTTCTGGCAGCCTCTTCAGCTTACAACAGTGCTCAATATCCAGTGACGTCATCTGGGTGCCCCCACATGCCGCCGAAAGTTTTTCAACTTTCTTACAACTCCCAATAAAGAGAGTTTCAGTGGCAGTAGGAATCAAAAACCTACTAAGGTTGTGGCAATCCTGTACCCACAATTTGCGTACTCTTGGGAGAAACTCAGGTGATATATCATCTATACAATCACATTTTCGCAGTGTCAATTTCTCGAGAAACATACTCATCTCACCCACTGGCTGCTCCAATTTCAATTTCCGGCAATCAGATATTCTTATTGTCTTCAAGGTAGTGGGCAGTATGCTAAAAGGAAAGGAGGTAAGAGAGTTACAATCACTAATATCTAATTCCTCAATCTCCTTCCTTCATCCCCTCATAAACAACTCCAACCTTAGGAGAACCAATTACTTCAAAACCTTTTAAACTTGAAAGTTGGATGCGTGTCTTCAAACTGAGTTTAGGGCAATTATCAATTAAAAGGACCTTAAGTATAGGGAACTCCCCATTTCTTAGTACGTACCATTGCTTCCACTCCGGCATATCTGCAAATAGAAGCCCCTCAAGAGAGTTAAAAGGCTTTTTGGAGGATGAACTGCCATAGAAGTCTTGCGTCGCCTCTGTTATTCCATGCATCCCTCTAATGCAAAGGATTTTCAAACAAGGGAGTTGGTTGTCCTAGTGATGGCAAGGAATAACAGTCCTTGCAGTTGCTAAGAGACAATTGTATTATCTTAAGAAACAAAACATTAGCTAGCCAATTTGGAAATTTTGTCCCTCTATATCCGGTGATTTCGACTTCTTTTATGTTTTTATGTGGGCATAGTTCATCAAGTATGTCTCTTTCTGTTTGTGAATTGTCGGCAATACTACTTTCACTCCACTCCAAAGATAACTTCTCAACATGATTCTTCTCCCTCATCTTTGCCTTCACAGCTTCTGTTCTATCAACCACATTTTGCAACTCTACAATCGATAGAGATCCATACAAATTCTGTGCTTCACCCAAATCTTCCATTCTCGAACCACCTAGAAGAAACTTGTCTCCCATTAGCACTTGGAGGCTTTTCAACTTGCTCAGATGTAGGGGCATCTTCAAGCAACAAGTGTTGCTTATGTCAAGATGACGCAAGTTAATCAACTTCTCCATCTGCAGCAGTAGCTCCTCAAGAAAATCACAATCTGACAGGAGAAGTGTCTCCAAGTTATACAATGCACATATGGAATCTGGCAACTTTTAAATCTTTGTCTGAGAAAGGTCCAAATATCTGAGGAGCTTTAATTTGATAAACAAGTCATTTGGCAACTCCTTATTATGGTAATGAGACAATGATAGTACCCTCAAGGATCTTAGTCCTGGCAGTATGTTATGCAACACCCTCTTGCTTAGCTTAAATGGGTAATGGAACTGGATATTGAGTGGAAGCAATGTCCTCAGCTGCTCTGATTTAAAGAGTGATTTCAATTTCTCAAAGTCACCATCTCCTCCTAGTGAATAGGACATGTGCCGACATTGTTCCAACATATGTGATCCTTTGTTCTCTTCCAACCTTATACAAAGATTTGAAGATGCAATTTGGGCCAAATCATTGACAAGGTCATGCATTAAGAATTTCTCTACGTCTTGTTCAGAAGACTCCGAGACCATTTCGAACAGCGATCTTGATCTCAGCTCGAGAAAGTATTGGTTACCTGAATGAAACTGCTGTACCAGACCATTAGCAATCCACATGTAAATAACTTGGTCTTTGCAAAATTGATAATCTTTGAGATATATTGCACAATAAGCAAAACATTGCTTCAAACGTGCAGGAAGATCATTGTAGCTCAACATCAACGCTGGTAATATACCATTCGAACAACTTGGCAGCTCCCATATTTCACTCCTTAAAATGTCTCTCCACTCATCCACCTTTGATTTACAGCATAAAATACCAGCAAGTGCTTTTAGAGCTAAAGGCAACCCTTTGCACCTGTGTGCAATTTGTTTTCCAATCTCTTCAAGTTCTAGATGTTCTTTAGGATCCCTGTTTTCTAGTGAATGTCGTTTGAATAGATCCCAAGAGACTTCATCAGACAGAGTCCCCACGTTGATTGCCCCACTACCCATCATCAAGGCAACACTCTCTTTACGTGTTGTCACAATGATCTTACTTCCTATATCTCCTTGTACCAAAACATTTCTCAAGTCATCCCACTCAGGATGGTTATCATTCCACACGTCATCAAGGACAACAAGAAACCTTTTTCCATTTAGCCTTTCCTTCAATTTGACTTGTAGCTGATTAAGATTGTCATCAACCTTCAAGTCAGTTGAGCCAATTTCTTGAAGTAACCCTTTTGTTATTCTGAAAGCATCATATGCCTCAGAAACACAAAACCAAGCTTTCAAACCAAAATGTTTCTGCACTCTCTCATCATTGTAAACCTCTTTAGCAAGTGTTGTCTTACCCACACCGCCCATTCCAACAATAGGAACTACAGCCAGATTTTTTCCCTTTGTATCCTTAGACAATAAACGGCCAATCAAATTCTCTATTTCATTCTGCCTTCCAAAGATACCAGTATCATCAACCAAAGAAGTTGAAGGTGTTCTAGTTTCTTGTTTCGTCGAACTAAAATGCTCCTTTAAGCCAAGGCGACCAATTTGCTTTTCCAACCCCTCCAATTTTTTAATAGTGTCTTCCAACTTCTTCTTTATGTTAAGAAAGAAATCATCACTCAAGGACAGGTTAAGGTCGCTTACTTGCTGGTTGCTTGTTTCTGCAAGATTTTGAACCTGACCTTCCACTTTAAGCCTCAAAGCTTCATAATTTACTTCTTCTATCAAGTTTTCAGCACCGTCCACAGCACTCTGAAGCTTATTTAACCACTGGCTCACAAATTGATTTGATGCTTTCTTATTCTCTGCATCACTTAGCACAATTTGAAGACCAAGCAAAATGTCCCCCAGCTTCTCAAAGAGCTGAACATCATCCGTATGCATCTGAAACATGTTGAGCATATCGCCCTGAGGAGCAAGTCTATCAAAGAGAACATTCAAAGCTGAAGAGAGAAAGGCACCACCAACTGCTAAGCCAATCTCCATTTCTGATATCTGCAAATCAAAACAAGGAGAATACAAAATGATTCTTTAAGAATTTTGACAAGATATATCTTCAAATAGTCTCTGTTAAGAGCTTTATTTTACCTGCTGAATGCTAACTGCTAAGAGTAATTTGCAAACAAGAATCACCTGTGATTTCTCTCAAACTCTCTCGTTTGCTAGTGCTCTTACTAGTAATTGGTACAACAGTGTTTGCAAACTGTCCTTTTTC